AGTACCTACTTTGGGGTCTAAAGTCTATAAATAGTACCTACTTTGGGGTCTAAAGTATACAAATAGTACCTACTTTGGGGTCTAAAGTCTATAAATAGTACCTACTTTGGGCTATTTGGAGCCCCAGGGAACAGCTACTTCCAAGGTTTATCGGTGGCTCCAGTATCCCCTTAGGCCTTGGGAAAGCTTTTATAAGGGTACAAGGCTTATCGGTGGCTCCAACATCCCCTTAGGCCTTGGGAAAGCTTTTATACGGGTACAAGGCTTACCGGTGGCTCCAACATCCCCTCAGGCCTTGGGAAAGCTTTTATAGGGTTGAAGAAGATTTTACAGGGTTTAGGGTTTGGATTTGTTGGTTTAAACTGGTAAACGGGGTTTGGGACTTTATTGCCATACACCAAGTAGTCAAAGGGCTGTAACCTAGTGTTTGCAAATGCGGGGGACGTATTTTCAAATTGTACTTACATGGTTGTACTCGATTACTTGGTGATAAGGGTGTTCAACATGTGCGGCTGAAGGTTCTTCAGTCACTGTTTGGGCTGCACCACTGCAATGTCTAGACTTGAGATGTGTGATTGATTGCCTAGGCTTCCATGGAAGAACAAGAAACCCAGAGACTCCAATATCCCTTAATTAAGGTATATACCTTAAATCATATTCGGGTTCCCTATTATGATTTAACAGTACATTCCTTAATTAAGGGATATTGGAGTCTCTGGGAAGTTCAGGGTCCAGGGTCTTCCTCAGCACAACGATCGACGTCCCTTCCACCCCAGTCAAGAGCCAGACCCACTACCCTAAACCCTAAACCGCAAACACCTAGAAACGTCAGGAGCCGGACCCACTCGCAGGTCCAGGAAAGCCTGGCATCAGACCTCCGGGGGCTGCGATTCGGATCCCGGAGACTCTAAGTTCAAGGTTTGCGATGCCTGACGAACGAACGCTGCAAAAAACATATCGTAGCATCCTGCCATGGCATATGGCACATGTCTCAACTGAGAGGTTGAAGCACAGTTATGGCATCGTGGAGGAAGGTAGAGGTGTGGCCAGTGGAGTGTTGGGTTTTTTCGTAATAACCCCCTCGGAGCTGGCGGAAGGAGTCGGGGACTCAAGGGTTTTGACGACTGTTCGGACTTAGTAGGGTCTTGAAGATCGAGGCCCCTGAAACCAAACATCCAGTGACAAGAGCCCATACCCGAATCGAACATGTAGAGCTCCCCATCTTTCAGTGCCGAAGATGCAGCGAGCTTCTGGAGAATCCAGTGCTTGGGCCCTTTTAACTGATAGCGCATCTTTTTTCAGCGATCAACCTTACGTTTCACGTCCGCGCCGCTGGGAATGATGGACGGTGTTGGTGCTGGTGGTGGCAGCGGCCGTAGTTGCAACTAGGCCTATGTACATACCCTCACTCATCTTAGCCATATGACGACATAACTACAAACTCTTCGCTCAGACCTTAGCCAGCCCCCAACCAGTAGCCCATTCCATTTGAAGTGCGGCCCTGACCGCTACCACCGCAGGGATGTGTCGTTAAAAAGCGATTGCAGCTCCACGATGTAAGGTTCGTAGAAGTTGCGGAGAAGCTGCCGCGACTCTTCTGTCATGGCTACCTTAGCTTCGGCTCTGGTTTTTCGGGAGTTAAGCTTCTGTGCTTGAAGCTGTCTGGGGAAGTGGGCCTCTCCGGAACAATTACAGTAATGGAACCATCTCATAGCTTCGGGTGTAAAGAGTCTATGCAACCACCGTCTCCATGCAAGGACCAGCCCCAAGGAAAGATTTGGGACCAGCGGGATACGGAAGGGATGTTGGCGCTTGTGGAGTTTGGGCCTTCAAGTTGTAGGGTTTCGGTTTAGGGTTTAGGGTTTAGGGAAGCAAGAACAAGTCTCCCATGCCAGGCGATCACTGACCTTCAACAGACGTGTCTTCAATAGGGCCTAGGAGCATACCTGAATACTTTATATGGGGTTTCCGAAAATAGGGGACCCCAGTGTAGCACCATATATAGTGTGAGGTCCCAGTGCCATGCGCGAATCCCCGACTGCTGTGGCATTCTGCTACCAGAAGATCCCTTCGGCCCACCTCAACACCCCTAACCCGAATACCTTGCTGATTCCCTTAACTCTCAAGCTTCCAGCACCCCCCTAAACCCTAAACCCCAAACTAACCTCCCCTAACCCCTAAACCCCAAACCGCCCCTAAACCCCAAACCCTAAACCCTAAACCCTATCACTCAACTTTACGTGCGATGCAGTGAAGGTTCGTAGCTCGAAGGGCGGCCAGAGTCGAGACCTGAGGGAATTTGCTTCGGGGGGGATCTCGGGTTTTAGGGATTTCGGGGTTGAGGGCTTATGGTTTTAGGGATTTGAGGGTTTAGGCTTTTTGGGATTTGAGGGCTTAGGGTTTTGGGATTTGAGGGCTTAGGGTTTTAGGGATTTGAGGGCTTAGGGTGTTAGGGATTTGAGGGTTTAGGGTTTTAGGGATTTGAGGGTTTAGGATTTTCGGGATTTGAGGGTTTAGGATTTCAGGGATTTGAGGGTTTAGGGTTGTAGGGATTTGAGGGTTGAGGGTATTAGGATTTCGGATTTTGGGCTTTTTGAGGGTTTGGGGTTTAGGGATTTGAGGGCTTAGGGTATTAAGGTATTAGGGTTTAGGGTATCCGGGTTTAGGGTATTAGGGTTTGCTTAGGAGCTTCAAAATTCAGAGCTTAGGGTTTGCTTGGGAGGTTTAGATTTTTTTCAGGGTTTAGGGTTTTGAAGCAAAAAGGGTTCTGCAAAGGTGTTCGTCAGGAGTCTGTTGCTAGAGTTTCACCTTAAACCAAAAGGTACACTTTTCCTGCTAGTTAGGTTTATATACTTCAGAGATACGCTCAGATGTTTTAACATTTTGTTTTCAGCTTTATTGGGAGCTATGTCGGGCTTCAATCCGCAGAGCCCTCCAGCAGTAGGGAGTCTTCCTATCAGGATACCTTTCCGAAGCATTTCCTCTATGCCGTCCCCCGTTAAGAGTCTTCCGTGTATCATGACGAGAAGCCCTCTGTCACTCAAGAAACCCATGGGCATCTTCTCTGCGAAAACGCTCCCCTAAACCCTAAACCCTAAACCCTATACCCTGAACCCTAAACCGTCTATCTCTGATGCCACGCTCGGAACCCAAAGCCTTGTAAGTAGGCCCTCCAAAGCACGAAATCGAAAGCAATTAGCGCCTAGGGTTGGGCCACTCGCAAAAAAGCCCGATAAACACTCTAAGCCCTAACCCAACCATAGAAGCCTAAAGCATAAACCCTAAACCCTAAACCCTGAACCCTGAACCCTAAACCCCTAAACCCCAAAAACCAAAACCCTAGACCCTAAACCCCTAAACCCCAAAAACCTAAACCCTGAACCCTAAACCCCTAAACCCCAAAAACTTAAACCCCCAAAACCTAAACCCTGAACCCGAAACCCCTAAACCCCAGAAACCCAAAACCCTAAACCTCCGAAACCCCACAACTTCCGGGTTGGAGCCTGGAGCCCAGAGATGCTCCGACTCGCTGGAGGCCTTCGGCAACTCCTCGGAGACTTTTCAAACGAAAAGGGTTTAGGGGTTTAGGGGTTTAGGGTTTAGGGTTTAAGGTTTAGGGTTTAGGGTCTAGGGTCGAGGGTTTAGGATATTTTCAAACGAAAAGGGTTTAGGGTTTAGGGTCTAGGGTTTAGGATATTTTCAAACGGAAAGGGCCCCTAAAAGGTGGAAGCCTTTTATAGTGTTTTTTTTTAGGATTGTTTATTAGGGTTTAGGGTTTAGGGTTGAGGGGTTTAGGGTTTAGGTTTTCGGGTTCAGGGTTTCGCGTTCAGGGTTTAGGGTTGAGGGGTTTCGGGTTTAGGGTTCGGGGTTTACGGTTTGGGAAATTGGATATAGGGACCTCGCTGACTTCAGTCAAGGCTTTTGACACTTGTTTTAGGGTGTTCGTGGCAGCACTTTTTGTGGGTATGGGGCTACAGAGGAGTTTAGGGGGGTGACTCAGAGGGTGTGTAGGTGCCCACGAAGGTCTTCAGTGGTGTTCGGATACGCGGATGAGAAGAGGAAAGCACCGTCCGATCATCCAAGCTCCAAGAACCCTACACCCACAAACGTCTTGGGTATATGGTTTAGGCCTGAGGGCCTCGAAAGCGGGAGAGCCTCAAGAGGAACCCTCAGCCCTGAAACCAAAAACCCTGAACTGCCCTTGGGCTCAACTCGGGAGGGCATCTCAGCCCTTTCTTGTCGTGAAGCGTTTTGCTATCTGGCAACGATGCATGCAATACACCCTGATGATACCACCAAAATTGAAAAGGCAACAGGCACTGAATTTAGACACTCTTCCGCGAGAGGGTGTTCCCCTTCACTCAATGTACTAGGGCTTGATGTTTAGGGTTAGCCGGTTAGCCCACCGCAGCTTAATTGGCCTAATTATGAATTGCTAGGCCAAGATGCGCCAACGACAGTGAGGCCGGCAAAGGCAAAGAGCTCTTTCAAGACGCCTTCGGCGTGGCCCTCAGTGGACTTGAGACGATGATCCCCAAACCATAAGCAGAGAAGCCACTGACCCCACGGATTCCCCACTTTGAGCTCCTGAACCTCAACCTCGAACCTGTGCCTCCAACCCAAGACTCCTAGACCCCTACACTTTACGGCTTTAGGGCAGCAGCCTTTGTGTGCACGCGAAATTCGATGACAGAACTTCCTCAAGTTTCGTTGAACCAAGATCACTCATCGCATCATTCGGTATCGGGCTAAACCATAAACTGAGTCAAACCCTAACCCCCATACCCTGCTTGTCTCAGCCCGATAGCCCTGCACCCCCAGAAGTGCGCCGTCCTCTGCCCCGAGTCTTCCCTTACTTGCGAGCCAGACGTCTCGCGAGCTCTCCTTGCGGAAGTCCAGCTCCTGCAGATGTCGCCGCTCTTCGGGGGAAAGCCCTAAACCCTAAACCCTAAACCCTAAACCCTAAAGGAAAGGGCGGGGTTTAGTTTTTTTTTTGGTTTGGGGTTCCCTAAGCGTTCTGTGAAAGCTCTGTAAGGTTCCATAAACGCTTTGCGAAGGTTCATAAAAGGGTTTAGGGTTTAGGGTTTAGGGTTTAGGGGTTAGGGGTTTAGGGTTTAGGGTTTAGGGTTTAGGGTTTAGGGGTTTAGGGTTTAGGGTTTAGGGGTCATGATACTGACCCAGCTAGAACAGGTTGGATGTTTTCCCCCAAGTCTCTTGAAGTGTGACCGCGATTCCGCGGCAGCCAAACAGCTTCGCCACTGAACCCCAAGCAGCTTTATAAAGAAATAGCCCCAAGCTGGAAACCCTAAACCACAACAAAGATGCCCTGCCAAGAGCTTTACTGTAGGGGCCTATATAATTACTACTACTATTTTAGGGGTTCCTTATTTCAATTATAATAAAATGGGCCCCAAAACCCTGTTCTAATTATTGAGGCCCCTATATTAAGCCTAAACCTCAACAACCCGTCGCCTGAAGCCCTACACCTAATTCACTGGTTGAAATGAGGTCTCTTCCGCTTCTCTTCCTCGGCGCGTCGGACGAAAAGCTGCTCCGGGGGGAAGACGGAAAGGAACCAGCTCAACCAAACCTGGGGTTCGTGGTTTAGGGTTTAGCGTTTAGGGTTTAGGCGATTGATTTACGATACTTAGGGTTTAGAGTTTCCTCAACCAAACCTAAAACCTAGGCATCGGTATTTCTTTTGGGGATGGAGGTTGCTCGAGTGTTTCAGGTTTAAGGTTGCGGAGTCCACAGCCTAAAATGTAGGGTCGGGTTTCGAGAATTGGGCAAGAGGGCGGCTACGACTGCAACCCAAGTGGCGCTGTAGAGGCCACGCAGCACGAAGGCAGCACTGCCGTTGTGGCCGTGGTCTGGCATCCGAGATTTGGAGGCTCCAGAATTTGGAGGGTCCCGAATCTGCGCACCCAGACCAACTAAGAAATTCCCGAATGCCAGCACTTAAACCC